GGCGGGCCTCACCTAGCAGCTTAGTGCTGCCTACTCTTGCTAATGGCAGACCTCTAACTGAGCAGGGCTCTCCAGTGACCTTAAAATCTCTAGCACTTCATTCAGCCTTAACTAGTGATTGTGGCCCATGGGGTTGTGTCATGTGTGTCCTGAAGGGAGGTGACCCGAGAACCAGAGCCCTCCCTCCAGGCCCATCTGCTGTCTCCAGTGCTAGTCCTAAACTCAGGCTACCCCCACACCCACTACATTTCCATACAGAGTCGAGAAATGAACACCAGCTTGAACTATGGGGAGACAACACGGTAGGCGTTTTCCAGTCTACCTGTACGGAGAGCATGATGAGGGTGATGTAAAACAGGACCAGGTAGAAGCTAATCATTGTCTTCAAATCCCTCCATGAACAAGACGAACTGTGGGCGATAAAGAGGAAAGGTAGGAGTTGTTCCTGTCACACGACACCTCCAAATAGGTGCACCCAGTCCCCATGCATGAGGTCGTCCATGACCCTCCCGTGTGGATGGGCGCTGCAGTCAGTGCTCTGTGCTACCCAAGGAAAGGACGAACAAGCCAGATCTCTGACCTCTTAGTGGCCACATAATAGTGGAAACAAGACCATTTCAAACTGTAAGGAGAGACTGGCTGCAAGTGAAATGACACTTGAAGTCACACCTGGATGACGGGATAATCCACAGCCCAGCTTCAAAGAGGGAGCAGCTCAGAGATTACAGAAAGCCCCGCCAGCTTATGCAGTGACTTGGAGTTTGCAGAAAGATGAAGGCTCTCCTTAATCTCCAGATATCGCAGGCCAGACCCACAGAACAGTTCTGGGTCCCCCAGCTTCCAGTTTCAAGAAAGCCAGATCTCTCTTGTCAGGCCACGTGCAGTAGGTAGGGCTGCTAGAACTGCCCCAGGTGGTCTGGTGAGCCCCTCGTGCTACTGTCATCACTTCCCTGTCCAGAGAGCAATCCACAGCAGCTGCCTTTGGTAAAGGTAGGAGTAGCAACAGGCTCTCTCTTTTCTCTAACCTTTACAATAGGTTAGAAAGATCTACTCTGTCGATAGCCGTGGGTGTGTTGGTTTGGCGGGCACCGCTGTTAGCCCTGAACCAGTTTATTGAAGAAAAACAAAAGCCATGTATTTGATTCCAAACTGTCATGACACTGGGAGGTGCAAATGGTTAATGGCTCATCTGCTAACCGAATAGGTGGATGCTCACGTCTACCCAGAGGCGCCTGAGAAGAAAAGCCTCGCTGAATATTCAGCCCTAGAGCACAGTCGATGCTCAAACACGTGGGTCGCCGTGAGTAGCTGTGAACAATGGGCCTGGAAAGGGAAAAGCATTTTCTGAGCACTAACTCAATCAAGTACTCTGCATGTGTTAAACAAGCAGCTACCTGTTCCATGACTGGGGAGCCAGGCCGTGACCTACGGAGGAACAGCACGAGCCGGGTCTCTCGCATCGATGGCCCCGAAAGCAGGTACAGGCTCTGGGGCACAGGCTCCCCAGCTCTGAGTGCACAGAACTGGGGAAATCACTACCCTGCGTAGAACGGAAACCCTGGCTCCGAGCCTCACCCCACAAGCACCTGGCTTTGAAATGGCACTGAAACAAAATGCACCACACTCTTCAGGCCAGTGAGATGTCATGGGGTAGTTAGGATCCCAGAAGTGAGCACATTTGGGGGCCTACCTGTGGGTGCCGTTGGTCTCGGTGAGGTTGCCCAGGCCACGGCCACAGCAATCCCACTGCCAGCATGTGGAGATGTTAAACAACACCAGGTAGGCCACCAAGGCCACAGTCAGCAGCAGGAACTTCAGCTCCAGGCTCATCCGCAGGAAGATGGAGCAAGCAACAAAACCCAGGATGCAGCTGCAGGTGTAATACTGGGGTGTGGGGAGGGTATGGTTACTCGGGTGGGCCAAGGTCATTCCACCTCTGTGCCTCCAGTGAAGCATTCCTGCTGGACCAGGCTTTAGCGCAGCCACAGGTGCCATTAGCATTAACCCTGACACAGGGACTTTCTTGCCCCTCACGGGGTTTTAGAGCAGCACGTCTTTAACACTACTTCCCTGTCTTGCTGATCTCCCATGTTAACAAAGAGCAGACGATAAAATCTAAACGTTGTGGCATTGCTTTGGTCTCACTGTATGCGGTTTAGGATCAGTGAGCTCTTTGAAAGGAACAAAATGTAAATAAAATCGGAGGTGGTAAATGGATATTAAAGGCACAGGTGTGTACTAGCAGGCACAGCCTTCCTACCACCCCAGGTGCTGCAGGGAGCTTGCCCTTCCCAAACTGCATCTCTACTCACATTGCTCCCTGCCCGGCTCAAGATCACGCTGTGGCTCCCCGGTGCCCTCAGAATAAAGCTAACATATTCACCCTGGCACTCATGCTGTGCACTAATCTGGATCAAACTGACTTCCCTGGCTACATTTCCCTATTTCCTGCTACTAACCACCTATGCTATCTCCATCGGAAAAAAAAAATCATCTGAGAATCAGTCTGACTGCTCCCATTACCCACCTCAGCCTTTTCTCAGCCTAGCTCCTCCACCATTCAGAAGTCATCACCTCTGGATACCCACAACCCTCATTCTGTGACCATTGTGACATTTCAGGGAAGCCTGAGGCACCAGGGTCAGTCTGCCTGAGGCCCAATCCTGGTCGACCACCGCTGTAGACAAGTCGGTTAACCTCAGAGTCCAGTTTCCCTGTCTATAAAGATGAATGTCTGGCTCTGTGACTGAAGGAACTCATCCCACCCACCTCAGATTAAACATGCAAAACAATACTATTTTCCAGGCCCAGAGACAAACAGCCCAGTGTGTTTGGGAGGGGCTAGGCTTGGGACTTCTGCACGCCTGGTCTCAGGCTCTGCATCGGTGACCTGACTGCAGTAGGGCCTGGCAGCACTGCTTGGAGTGTGGGGGCTGGTGCACTCACCGGTAGGAGCTCACATGGTGCCTGGCTGCTCACAGCCCCGAGGTTCGTCTGGTTCCCTGCAGACAGCCCTGGGCCTGGGAGTGGCAACAGTGTCTACAGAGGAAACAAAACCCAGTTAGGGGCAGTCTAGGGGACAGTGACTCGGAACCTGGCAAGGCCCAGCAGGACACAGTGGCAGCGAGAGGGGGGTGGTAAGGACCAGGCCTCAAGGCCCCAGTGAACTGCCAAACCCATCTCCAAGCACTACTCAGAGCTGTCATGGGGGTAAGGGTGCAAAACAAATTGAAGATATGGGGACACACCTCCCAGAGCGTTGAGAGACTGGCCCAGCTTACAAACCCATCTTGTTCTATGGTCCCTTCTCTCCAGGTGACCTTGAGGAAAGGGGTCACAGAGCATACTATAAAGGCTGATGTTCGACAGTATGTAGGAGGTAGGGCTGGGGAGAGACCCTAACCCGTAGAAGCCAGGAGGACTAGTCCACCTTCTGCACCGGTGCATCGACACGGAGAAGCAGGGCTGTCACCCCTGTCTCAGCTCGGGCCCTTAGAGACATCCCAGTCTCAGACTCAGGGCTCACTGAGGACTAGGATTTCAACTATACAGCCCGCTGGGGTCTGCTCTCTGGGACTGCATTTGGAAAATGAACAGTGAAGTCTGAAATAGGGATATGAGGCGCCCTGGTGACAGAGGGGTTACATGTTAGGCTGCTAACCACAAGGTTAGCAATTCAAAACCACCAGTAGCTTTGCCTGAGAAAGATGAGGCTTTCTACTCCTGTAAAAAGCTACAGTCCCATAAGCCCACTGAGTCCGTTCTACCCTGGCCTCCAGGATCACTATGAGTCAGCATCGACTCAGTAACAATGTTTGGTTTAGTTTCCTTCCGTCACCCACCCACCACAGAGCTCTAACCCCAAAACTCCACTGCTATCCAACCAATTCCAACGAATAGTGACTATAGGACATAGTCGAATGTTCCGTAGGGTTTCTAAGACTGAACAATTAATTTTATGGTTAGCCCGATGCTTTAACCCATAGTACCACAAAGGTTCCTACACCAGTTCTGGAGAGAGTCGAATGAGGTACTACTTATAAAGCAAGACAGCAAGAGTCCAGGGTTCCAGGACCTTGAGATTCCCAGTGTGCTTCCACCCAGGAAGCATGCTGCCACAGGCACAAGGGACCCACCAGGTTGATGATGGCGATCGTGAGTAGGCTGCCAATGGTCAGGATGGCCAGGAACACTCTCAGCAGGGGTTGTGTCTCCACCCTCTCGGGGATGGCTCGAAGCATCCCCCAGGCTGGGCAGCACCTCTGTGGGGAACCAGGACCAAGTCACCCAGGGCAGGCACATGAAGCAGGTGGGAGCTTGCTGAAGACTGCGCTGTGAGGCCAGAAGAGCTCCGGAGAGCAGACTGACAGCTCCTCTTCAGGTGGTGGAGGGTCCATGAGTGTACCCACTGTGCCTAGCACCAGGTGAGTCTTCAGTAAGTGTGCAAACAGAAGAGGTAGTCTCACCACTGGCAAGCCATGGGCAGTTACTTGGGAAACTCCAGCAAACGCAGGAAGTCGGCCTTTCAAAAGTGTCAGAACACTCCACAAGTTGTCTTTGAGGCAGGAAGTGCTGAGTCAGGCACCCAACTTGCTCAGAGCCCAAGGAGGAGGGTCTGATGGGGCAAGGGCTGCATGAGGACTGCCTTGCCCATTTGGGTGATCAGGGAGCGGGAGCCCTTCGGCTGTCTTTCCTAGGGCTTCTCTACTCACCAGGAACTCGTCAGCAAAGCACAGGCCCAGCACCAGCACCAGCACGCAGGCCACCAGCCCGAAGGACACATCGAGAGCTGCCATCCTGAAATGGAGGGAAATTATTAAATCCTGGGAGCTCACTGCCCAAGACTGAGCCACAAGAAAGCTGCCTCCGTCTTCATCTAAATTCTCCAGCTCTCGAGTATTTTCTGCCCCTTTCCCAACTGCCATTCTGCTCTCAGAAAAACAGGGTCTGGTTTGTTACATATGACACCTGACCAAAACCCACAGGTCATAGCATGGCATCTCCCATTTGGGGCTCGGTATATAAGACATGAAGACTACCTAGGCACCCTTCTATCTAGTACATGGTACACGCCATGTGAACATCTTCCCTACTTTGTCTTTATTAAGAAGAGCCTAGCCAAATTGTGCAACTCTTTTTATAGAAACCATGGAATGACATGTCAATGGCCCCATTTAAAAAAATCCTAACTACAATCTTGGTTCATCCCTCAACCAATTATCCTTCTAGAAAACAAGTAACTGGCCTTACATACCCTGCCCTCTGACCTCTTATCCCAGCCCTGACCAACAAGGCCCTTGAGCAAAAATGTGGATCTCATTGGCTCTTGAGGTATTTGCTGTGCTGCCTTGTATACATTATTAACCTCTCTGAGCCTCAATTTGTCCACGTATAAGAGAGGGATCATGGTGGCTGTGATTTGAGGAGTCTACAGTTCTGGAACCCCATGAACTTAAAGGAGGGTTCATAAACCAAAAGGCCAGCAATGGCTAAGCAGAAAAGAGACTTCAGAGGTTGGGTGATATCAGAGAATGGTGAGGACTATGACTTCAACAACATAGGTGTTGGTCTTTCCAGATGCTGGGCCTCCCAGCCATGGTCCACAATTTCCAGGAACTGAAAGAGTTACTGTTCGTGAATCCCAACAGCCAGCCCTTCAGGCCTGATGATGCAACTTCGGGAGTTGCCTGCAGGTTTTCTGGTGGACTGTGCCAAGGTCACCTTCACTCCTCCAGCTGGATAGTCCATTCCACCCCCCAACTGACCTGGGCATCAGCAGGAAGTAGATGAGCAGGATGCAGAGGAAGACAAGGCTAGCACAGGCGAAGTAGTGGCGGGCCCGGGGTATGGGTGCCAAACGGTACTAGGGTTGACAGGAGAAATAGGGGACACTCACCTGGGCATCATGGCCCTATCTGCAGGGTCAGTTGCTCCTACCCCTTTGCAGGCCCCACCCAAGTCAGCCTCCTTAAATATAATCTCACCGCCCTCTAAGTATTGTAAGTGATGGTGTCACATTTAATAATGGTCATCCCTCTCTATGTTGGTGTCCCTTTTTTGTATTTCAAAGCAATACCTACCCTTTTCTCCTTAACCAGGTCTCCTATTATATTTCTGAGGCTCCTGAAAAACCCCATGCCTAGAGTGAAAAATGGGCATTCGCTGTTTGAGTTCTCAGGGCTGGTAAAGCTGGTGTGGATGGGGGTTTGCCCTCACCCAAATCAATGGGTGAGACTGGGCCCAAACCTTGAAAGTGGTGCTGGAGATGAGGAGGGTCCTTACTATCTTTTAAGACTAATCCAGGAAGGTCTTGCCACAGACTGGAAAATCAAGCCGAGATAAGTTAGCAGCCTGTCCAGGGTAGCAGCAGAAGACCATCTGGGCAAGTTTCGCAGAGGTCACATCTGCCTCCGAGGAGCCCTGGTCTTAAAGTGGTTAAACACCCAGCTGCTAACTAAAGAGTCTCCGTGTGAACCGACCAGCTAATCTGGAGGAGAAAGACATGACAGTCTGCTTCCGTGAAAATTGCAGCCTTGCAAGCCCTGGGGGGCAGTTCTATACTGTTCGGAAAGGTTGACTTGAGTCTAGATCAACTTGATGGCACCCAACAGCAGCAGCCTGCCTCCAGACTCAAAGCCCCTGGCCTAGGGAGCCCCCAATTTAAGGAGCATTCACAAGGATAAGGCTCTGCCCTGCTGTCCTGGAGAAGAGTGCTTTCCTGTTGCCTCAAGCTGGCAGGGGAGAATCAGGTCCTAGTACTTGACCCTGTGGGCTGTGACCATCCCCAGGGGTGTCCCTGAAATGAAGAGTCTGTTATACCCTGCACATTTAACATCGCAGACCCACAATTAGCCTCCTGCCTATGCAATGAGAGTACCAGCTCCCACTTTACCCAACTGTTATGAGGGTTAGATTATATAACATGGGCCTACGCTGGTGTCAGACCCAGTTCACTATGACTACAAAAGCCATGTCATCCAATCAGGTCCCTTACAACCTGGAGACTACATTTTGGGTGGTTTTTTTGGTTTTGTTTTTTTCTTCACGTATAAGGCCAATACTATCAGCCTGAGTGTTCCCAGTTCTGGGCAGCTGAGGTCCTGGTATTTGATGGCTGCAAAAGCCTTCAGACCCCCCTTTTGGTGACTTACCAACACGGTGGGGTGGGAGTGGGGGTTGAGGGGATGGAGAAGGATGTTGAGAAAAGGAGGGAGGTCACAGGAATTGAATCTAAGAAAGTGGTTATCAACCTTCCTAATGCTGTGATCCTTAAATACTCATGTTGTGGTGACCCCCCAACCATAAAATTATTTTCGATGCTACTTCATAACTGTAATTTTGCTACTGTTATGAATCAGGCAACCCCTGTGAAAGGGTTGTTCGACCCCCAAAGGGGTCGTGACCCACAGGTTGAGAACCACTGATCTAAGAGATTGAGATAGGTAGGTTTATTGTGCCAACCTGGCTAATAGGAACATGTGGGATTAATAAGGTTGCAGTTTGATTGTAGGGCAAAGAGATAAATGGCTCAAATGCCCCGCCTGTCTCCCTCTTGCTCTCTGGTGATTGGGCCAGCATGCGGCTGCCTTAGCTACTTCTCTGTCTCAACTCATGAGCTACACTACCTGTGAGACACCCAACCCGTGGAGGTTTCTTCAAGACCTGCTTCACGCTGCTGGTGTATACATCGCTTGAGCTTGGATGTCGGATCCTGTCTTCCTGCTAACTGTTGGTGACCCACCCTGATGTTTGCTGCCTCTGGCTGGACTGCCTGCATTGCTCTAAGGAAGACTCAGCTGTCTGCTTCCTTGACCTTGGACCCAGCAGCCCTCGTGAGTTGAAGGACTTCCAGTATATTAACTGTTCCATGAAAGTGAGTTGAACTGAGCCCTCTGTACTGCTGGGTGGACTAATTAGCTATTATATTCCTTCATGCTGTATATATCTATATATATATAAAATCATAAGTGCCCTCCTGGTTTTGTTTCTCTAGAAAACCCTGTCTAACACAGAGATGGACTGAAATATCCACTTGGCTTCTAGGAGTGTTATTTTGACTGACCCACAACCTGCACTCCTACCCCAACTCAGCCATTGGAGTCTTGTTCCTTGGGGATATGGGGATGAGGCTGCCCCAGGACCCTCACCTCTCGCTCAAAGTCCATCTCCAGGAAAAGGGGCACACAGGTGCTAGTGTAGAAGTCATCTGACTTGGAGCAGCAGGGCCTGAGGACAGCAGAAGTAGGCGTGAGGGGTGGGCCCAGGAGAGTGGTAAGATTGAGCCTCCACCCACCACCCTTCAAATACAGCATCAACAAGGCGAGAAGGAGCTATCTGGGGGCCACAATTGGAGCTGGAGCACACTAGGGTAGGTGCTCGGTATGTCCATAGGAAGGATCCCATTTGGGGGCCCAGTGTCAAAGAGCCTCACCTTGCTGAGCTGAGCCCCTCGATGGTTGACAGCATCTCATCATTGTAGGAGTCATCCTCTGACCGCCCCTTCGGAGATGCACTTCTGGAACCAGACACCCCCACTGAATCCCCTCAGGGCCCCATGTCTACCGCCCAGCAGCAGAGGAGGAGGAGAGAGAACTTACCCATGTGCCGCTCCAGGGACCTGTGGAGGCCACAGGCCCCCCTCACACAGGACAGCTGAGAGATGAGGGAGGGTCCCACTGAGGCCCACAAAAGGAAAGGCTGGTGGCGAGCAAGCCCAGACACATTGGGTGGCCATTCGCTCAGCCGGAAGCAGAAGACAGACCTTGACCCCACCTAGATCCCCTTCACCACCCACAGGGTTCCCATGAAAACCAGCCTCCCTGAGGTTACACACAGGCTGGGTGAACAATAGGAGATCAATCACTGCTCAAGCCCATGCAGAAAAGGTGCAGAGCAGGCAGTTCTGGTTCCTAGAAACACTTTAGCCTCAGCCACAGCAAACTCCACAGAGGTCCCGGTTAGGGCAGCCTGCCTGGTGGCGCTAACCAGCTTAGCCAAGAAGGCGGGCAGAGCTGGGGAAAGCAAAGGGGACAACATACAGACCTTTCTAGAGTCCAGTGGCGCCGCAGGGGAATGGCCTGGAAGGGAGAATCATATGACCCCGACACTCCCCAGACGGCTTGGTCTGAAGCCTATGGGATCGCTGGGTGTATATCCAGGGCCCACTTGAGATTCACAGGGGGGAGTTCCAGGTTTGCCCAAGAGGCAGGGACCCTGAATTCAATCGAGATTCCGTCTAAGGATTGAGGAGGCAAGGACATTACTGGTCATCTGCGGTATTCCGCCAATGCTTGACCTTTTCCTTTGCCCCAGGAGGCAATCTGGGCAGAGACAGACCACTTCAGAAGTGAAGAAAGTGAAGCTCAAAAGGATCCCCTGGGCAGAAGCTCCCCAGGCTCCCCCAAGACCCCACTGCACAGCTCTCGGGCAGGACTCACCCTGGGCCTCCGGACAGGAGGAGCAGGGGCCTCGCTGCTGCTCACACTGTCGCGGTGGTTGAGGTGTGCAAAGGGCCGGGCAGCACCCCACGACTCCAGGTAGCGGGTCACCCGCACCGATGCCCTCATCTTCAAAGCCGCGTCCCCCTTGGGCTTCAGGGGGTGCTGGCTAGCTGAGGGCAGCTGCTGACTCTGTAGGCAGACAGAGATTTGGTGTCTCCTCAGGAAGGGGGCCTTCGCCTCCCAAAACACACGTTCTGGAACGGTCATCGAGCCAACCAGGCAAAATGGACAGTTCTCAGGTCCCCTTGAGAAATGGACGACCCTTCGGGACACGCTGAGCCAAGGCAGCTTCTGCTACATTGTTGGGAGATTGTGCGCAGCATGTGCCTGCCCCAGGTGAGGATACAACGGTCCACGGCCCTTCAGGCCAATCCAAGTTCTGGTTCAACTTGTCCCTGAAAGGCTCCTCCAAACCAAATGCTGGAGGCTGAAAGTAGGGAGGCTGGACGAGAAAAGGTCCTGAAGCCACTAGAGACAAATGGAGGTCATCACATAAGTCAGTAAGGACTACCTATCCCCAAACACTCTGTCTCCTCAGGACGCTGCAAGCACCCTCATAAATAAGCACCCACGACCACAGTGCTCGCTTCTCTCCTCCTTTGGGAATGGAAATGTTTAAAGTCCCTTAGCGGTCTGTCAGTGGAGGTCTGAGGTTGCCATGACGCTGTACCAGTTTGTGCTCTGAAGCTTCCCGACTAAGACGGAAAGAAAGGCCTGGTGATGAAACTCAACCAATGAATGCCTGCTGGATCCTCAGCATCTTTCTCCTCGGCAACTAACAGGGTGGGTACGGTGCGGCACGGAGAAGCATTTGATTCCATGGTCCACGGAGTGAGTCACCCCGAGTTGGGGCCAACTCGAGGGCGGTTAACACCAAGGGTGTTGGCTGGAGGACAGAGGCAAGAGGAAAACCTTTCACTACATGCCTCCGGTGCCTCAGCTATGTGAATGAATAATTCGCTTAAGAATACATACCCTTATTGAGTAAAGGAATGATCAAGGTTGCCAGGCACCCTGTAAAATGCTACCTGAGGCACACTGATGATGTGAACGCCATCACGGTTTCTCCGAAAGCTAAATGTAATTGGGTGTTCTGAAGCCTCATGTACGGAACCTGGGGCCTTGTGGGGAGTGGGTTTAGGGCCATGCTTCCTGCTTGCTTTTGTGGTAGGGTTCTGCTTCATTCATTCCCAAAGGACCTGGGTGCCTGCTCCCTGCCCGCGCTGTTCTGGGTCGGAAGCTGTGGCTGAGGCCTGGTGAGGAAGCACCGGGAGCTCCTGCGGCTTGGAGCCCACACTGATGGCACACCAGGGTGCTGGGACAGAGGAAGGGGGCTCTGGGTGGAGGAGAAGGCATGGGAAAGGCCACGCAGGAGGACAGACCGTGGAGGAGCTGGGAGGGGTAGCGTGGGGTTGACTGCACTGGGCAGAAGAGTGGGGATGGGGGAGTTAATAGCGGTGGAGTCTGGGTGTGGCCGGGTTCCAGGGACTTTCCTGAGTGACAAATTCAGTGTTAGATAAGAGTATTCCCTGGGTGACACCACCATGGAGGCATCCACCGGGAAACAAGCCTGGTGCCAGAAACGTGTGAATGGAAGCCCAGTGAAAAGATCTCAGGCTGCCTCAACGGCAGCCTTGAAATTGCAGTCAGGACAGCCCTGAGGTCCAGACCAGTAGTGAGAGGAGACTGGTAAAATCCTGTCGTTCCTGACATGCCCTGATCTCGCACCAAATATGATTCACCCAAGCGGCTGCCGGATGAGCTGTGCAGGGTAGTGGGAGGGGTGCCTGGGCTGGGCAAACGCCGGAGCCACGTAGCTTATCCCACGGGGCCCTTGGGCAGACTTGGGAACACGCGAAGAGGCTTGAAGGAGGGGAAAAGGCAGCTGATGCCAGGGTCAGAATCCAGGACACTCATAGGAGCCCCCGGCCATTCATTTCTTGACTGCCTGGTTCTCATCCAAAGTGTGTTTTGAAAATGTGATTTGAAAATCTGAGAGAATAGCGAGCACGTGGGGGGAAATCTGCTCCTAGTGACTGCCATGTCTAGAGTGACTATGACAGCCAGGATGGGGGAACACACGGCTGAAATGAGCTCTTTCACTCCTTTCCGGGTGCTGTCCCCCTGCTTCATAGCAAGAGTAGGAAGGCCCTGGCCGTCCAGAGCAAACCCAGGGATGAGGTGCTAGCCCCTGCTCTGGTAGGTGGCTCCCCTGAGCCAGCCACAGAGAGGCAGCCTGCCATCCCTGTTATCTTCCCCCAGATCTCTTCAGCCTTGCCCACCCCCGTACCCCTTCATACCCGAGGGTCAATGACCAGATAGGTCCGGATGTTCATTTCCTTCAGGTAGGCGTCCCTCTGCTGACCATGCCCATCCTCCACCTCGTATGTCTTGTCCAGGTGGTTCAGTGTGGCCTCCGTTATATGCACCCGACTAAGGGATGGGAGAGTCAGACAGAGCCCAGGGGCCTGGGACCTCCTGGGGAGCACTGATGGCAGGGCCCTGGCTGCTCCCCTACTGCAGGTCCACCCCTGCTGTCACCCACCCACCGCAGGTGCCCCTGGCCTCGGCCTCTGCATCAGCGAGTCTCACCCAGGAACTCCAGCCGCCTCCATCCTGTTGGCCAGGGACACGTCATGGGACCACACGTCATACTGCCATTTCCGCAGCCCAATGACCCCGCAGAGCACATTCCCTGAGTGGATGCCCACACGCATGCTGATGTCCACACCTGTGGCCTCCCGCACCTGCCTGGGCAGAGTGAGTCAGTCACCCCATGGCCTGAACTCTGGTTGGGTGGGTGGGGGAATGGTTGGGGCAGAGCACAGTGGTGGTAGAGGGTGCAGCAAAATACAGAAAACTCAACTTCCAGAAGAGAATGTTCTTATGCTGACAGGCTACATCCTACAGAGGAACCAAGTCACCTGACCCTGGGAGTGTGCGCAAGGGACGTGTCACCCAAGTTCAAAGAAAGAATGGCCATTGTCACAGACCACAAACTTTGTATTTGGGCCTCTACTTCACCCTGGATGTTTCCCTGCCTGGCTTTGAAAGGACTGTCAACGTCTACAGAGGGACAAGGCACCACCCTAACCCCTGCAAAGACAACCGCCCTAGGTGGTTTTGACACCCCATCTCTGGAAGTTGAGAGCCTTGTAAACTACTGGCCCCAGGACATTACTCTGCACTGGATCTCAAGCCCCCCCATCAGGGAGCTCCACCAGCCCCTGAGTTGCCCTCCACGCATAAGCAGTACCTGAGTATCTTTAAAGAGTAAGTGAAGGGCAGGGTGCAGCCAGTGCCAGGTGTCCCATCAACAGAGATGCCAGGGTCAAAGCCCGAGAAGGCCTGAAGGGTTTCCGTATAGCCTCTGGAACCCAGAGAGGAGGAGACTGAGACCCAAAGAGGGGTAGGCACCTTCCTGAGGTCACGCAACTGGGACCTAGTCAGGCAAGAACCAGGACGCCTTGGGGTTGTCCTGGCAGCACTCGGCATTCTGGGAAGATGTCAGGACGCAGAGCTGGAGACGCTGATAGGCCCGCCTCCGGACCTAGCCGAAGCACGGGTCAGCGTGTGGGCACAGAGAAACTCCCAGGAATTAGTCTCCGTGGGCAGAAGCCCTGCTTTCTATTCTTAAGGTGTCCTTGCAGCTTGAGGTCTCCCTGCAGCTCCAAAGGCCAGTACCCTGTGTCTAAGACCTTCAGAGAGGAAACAGGAAGCAGTGAAGTTCTCCTGCTGTCTGCCCTGAAGTCTTCCTGCTGATACAAAAACTTGACAGAAATGGAGCTCAGTTGCCCTACCCTAGATAGGACCTGGGAGACTTTTCTGGACCGAAAGCCCTGGCACAGGTGAGTACAGAGAGAAGATGTAAGCATACTGATTGTGGCCCCTCCAGCTTGCTGCCCGAGCCACCATCCTCCTCCGTACAATGGGAGTAAAGCCCACCCCGCCTCCATATGCACCAGGAGGCAGGAGCAACTCACTGTGGAAACAGGTCTGCCCCTAGTACCTACTTAATGGCCTCACACATGTCTAGCCCCATCTTCACACAGTTCCGAGCGTGGGTAGGCAGGGACACAGGCAGGCCCGACACACAGTAGTAGCAGTCACCCAGGATCTTGATCCGCATGCATTCGTTGGCCTGTGGGACCAGGAAAGAGGCTGGGTGAGTGGACAGCCTGGGGGACCTGGGGTCCTTCCCTCCTAGGGTGAGTCAGGCCTTTTCCCAGCCAGGAGCTGCCTCCTGGGATATGAGTCACCAGGAACTTCTGCTGGGCCGAGTAAAAGCACTGGGGACAGGGAAGTCTCAAAAAGAGGAATCCCATCCCTTCAGCCAAGCTTCCAGTGTTCCTAAGGGGAGCCACCTGAATGCTTCTCATGGTGTAGTTGCCTTTGTTTCATTTGTCCATGCAATGTTTGAGTGCCCACTGAATGCCTAGCCTTGGAATACAATAGTCAAGAGACCACAGAGCTCATATGTGGTGGGAGAGTTAGACACTAAACAAACAAACAAAAGTCCAATCAGGATATCAAATGGTGATGAGAACTGCCGAGACAAGCAAAGCCCGGGAAGAGAAAAGAACTCCCTCGGCGGCGAGAAGGCCTCTCGAAGGTGGTGACATTTGATAAAAGGCCCAAAGGGACTGAGGGGATGGAGGCAGAGCATTCCCCACAAAGGCAGCAGCATGTACAAAGGTCCAGAGTGAGTGGGGAGAGAGGGGGACAGGCGTAGTAAATAAGGCGAGAAGCTTGGGCAAAACACCTGGGCAGAGGTGAGACCACAAAGCAGGGGCAGCCGGCGTCAAGGTAACCCAAAAAATGGCTATGTGGCTAAGCACGGAAAATGCACAGAGCTTGCAAGGTGAAAGATGCGTGTAGGGGGACAGGACTTATGAAGGTTGAAATCTCATGGAACAAGGCTAGTATAAAGAAATATGCAGAGAGGGGGGCATAAGGAGAGGGGTGCCCAAGGATCCACTTGGGATGATGCTGTGGTCACAGGGATCCTAGGCAAAAGCCACACAGACAACTGCCTTGGCCCTCCATCCCACTTCCCACTCTCTCAACCAACGCCTATTCCTCCTGCTCTTTGTGGGTCCATCAAAAGTCTTACACCCTGCCTTTTAGAGAGTTCAGCCATGGCAGATCAGCGGAGAGAAGCAGGGGGCTGGCGCACTGCAGAGTCCCGAAAGGCCAGCCAGACTCCTGGAACAAAAGCACCCTTGTTCCCAAGTCTAGCAGCTGCTTCCCCCATGCCCTTCAGGCCAGGGACTCAGCACAGCCCCAGCCTTCCCCAGAGCTCCCTTGCACCTGTTCCCCCCTTTGCACAGGCCCCAGTACCTTTCCTTCACCCTCCTTTAGTGGGTGCCAAGTCTATCTTGCCGGGCCTGTCTGGCAGAACCTGGGTTCTGGGAGGTGGGAAGGATGTGAGGACAAAACTTCCCTACAGAGGCAGAAAGCTGGGCTAGGCTTTGGACAGCTCAGGGCTGGCTCGGGCTCCAGTTGCCTGATCATCACTTAGGCTTGTACAGGACTGCCCTCTGGATTAGTCCCAGTTAGTACCAGCTATCACGAATTGGTGTAGCCGTGGGAGTCTGGCACCAAGGCCATATTTCTCCAGGCCATTCTCCTGAATAGTTGATAGGTCCACTGTGGTGTCTGAAAGTTACAATGGGGGAGTTTATGAAAGGGTAATCCTCTGAGAGAACACGCCGTGGTTCTCATGAGACGTTCCTGATTGTGGATGGAAGAATTGGCCGGGACCATCCCTGCCCAGAGGCTGAACTCTCCATGGAGGGGGCTGCACCTGCCAGGCCTCCCTTTCCCTATCTGGACCCTGGGGCCCCTCCTTCTGAGCATGCAGGGAAGGAGAGGCTTCTGGCAGCAAGAGGTCCAAATGGACAGTGAGGCCCAGGCCCTCTGCCCACCTCTGGCCAAACCACCAGAGGTTCTGATGCGAGGGTTCCTGGCTAGATGGACTGGTGGAGCACCTAGCCACCAACGTCTACGGCAGGACACTTCTCCCAAAGCCCTGGCAAAGGCCCTCACGACCCGGAATCCTGATCCACATTAATTCCATGGACATGCAGTCTTCTTGTTATTCTGGCCAAGGGGGTCTTCATTGCCCTGTGATGAGAAGCCTACCCCTGGCTGTCAGAGCCCCTCTGACACCGAGGAGGCCACCTTCTGGTTTGAGAAGCTCTGATCATCAGAAAAGCTCTCCCTAGAGTGGGACCAGTACTTTCTTCCCATCAAGTGCCAGACCCTTGGTTTTTCACCCAAAGGCGATTCTGGAAAACGTTAATGGGTGTAGGGAATGGGCACTGATGTTCAAGTTTCCCACGTGATTCAAATACGCAACCAAGGTAAAGGGCCACTCCTTAGATCCATGCTTCAGTCTCTTCCTGAAGCCTCTCTGGACCACTTCGCACCAAGCTAGGTGTTCCCCAGGTGATCTTGGCTTACTGCACCCCTCTTCAAAGCACCTGTCCTGTCGACCCGGAGCAATTCCAGGGCTGGCCCAGCACTCACCAGGTTTCAAGACACTTGGTGAATGAATGAATGAGTATTCCTCCCACCCACCGCTCATGTTTGTACCGACATATGCCTCGGGCTGGGTGCTGCTCATAAAGATAAAATTCAGTGAATGAGACCGCGGCAGAGCCCTGTCTCGTTTCCAAATTCCTCCTCGGTCAGCTACACACTAGAGCCCCTCCCTGTCCAGTGCCCTTCTCCTGGTGGGTGCTTGTCTTGCTCCTCCTCACCTCCTCCCTCAAATCTTTGAGCATCTGGCTTTGGCCACTCTGTCCCCTCTTAGTCTGCGTCCCATACTGAGTCATGGCCACTCAGTGTATGAAGCTTTTGCACACACTGTTTGCTCACTAGCCTGTACATTGTTCCTTTTCTTCTGGATCTTCTACCTTTCTTTCAGGCTTTCCCAAGCTTTAATGTGCACATCATCCACCTAGTGCAGCCCGGCATTCTAAGATCTGGGAGGCCGATGCTGCAGCTTTATGCAGAGAGGATGAGTCATACCCCTCCAGGTAGCCTTCCTAAGCTTCCTCTGAGCCCCCATAGGACCCATGTATTCCTCCCCACAGTTGTCACATCCTGGGGGAGGGTTCTGACTGCTTGACCCACTTCTCCCTTCTCCTGTAGCTCAGGCTGGCACACAGTAGGCACTGGGGATCAATTGTTGACTGAAACTAAGATCCATCCAAGGCTTGTCTGTCCTGATCCCAGTGCCATGCTGGGCACAGCCCATCCACCGTGGATGCAGTGGGGGGGTGCAATGATTGGCAGAGGAAAGGGTGGGGTTACATAGCAGCCACACGGGGCAGAAGGACTGGCAGGCATGCTCACCTTGGCAATCTGGTCAAATTTACCGAAGAGTTCATTGAGCACCATCACTAGCTCTTTGGGGGAGCAATCACTGGCCAGTCTCGTGAAGCCCACGATGTCTGCATAGAGGATGCTAGGGGCAGGGGGCATTGGAAGGTTAAAGTCAGATCCCTGGCAGATAGGACAACACAAGCAAGTGGACAACCTTGGGGCCCTGAGCATCTGCCGGCCCTGAGCTAAAGACTCCCTCGCCCACCATGGCCCCAACTGTCCCTGTCTATCGCCAGTTTCTATAGAGCTGGGAGCATAAACATATGCCTATGCTCCTTCATGTCTACCTCAAGCTGTTCTACTTTGGATTGCCTCGTATGTATGCGAGAGTTGGACCAAAACTCCAAACTCGCTGCCCGCCGTCAACGCTCTCCTGACTCATAGCAACACTATAGGACAGGATAGTAATGTCCCTTTGGGTTTCCAAGACTGTAAATCTTCCTGGGAGCAGGCGGCCTTATCTTTCTCCCAAGGAGCAACTGGTGGGTTTGAACCACTGACCTTGCTTTCGGTTAGCAGCCCGTGTAACACCCACTGTAACACCAAGGCTCCTTTGACAGTTGGACAGTTAATATGAAAAATTGAATAATGATCAACTCTTTGATTTATGCTGTTGTTATATATATTAATATGTAATATTAATATTACAATATTCGTTTTCATGGAAAATTTGAATTAAAAGATGAGTTTTAAACAATTGTTTAAGTCTCCTATATACCATAGAGTGGCAGAAAAATCAAAAATCTGTCTTGGAGGAAGTACAGCCAGAATGTCCCTTAGAAATGAGGATGGCAAAACTTCATCTCTTACACTTTGAGCATGTATGGCATCGCGAGGGGCCGGTGCCTGGAGAAGCGCAATGCTTAGTGGAGGGGCAGTGAAAAAGAAGGCCCCTCAAGGAGATGCAGTGACATAGCGGCTGCTACGATAGGCTGCAACATAGCTCCCACTGTGAGGATGGGAGGGACTGGGCCCGTGCTTCATTCTGTAGTGCACAGAACCTGATTTAAGAGCAATCGAACAACTCTCTGTGGAGCATCGCTGGATGGTGCAAACATTTCACGGGTCCAGCTACTAACTGAAAAGTTGTGGGCTTAGCTTTTAGACTCCAGAGCAGGGAGGCCACCTGCAAGGGTTGGGTGACCTCGACCCACTACCCACCTGACATTCTGGTGCCGCTTGACATAGAGGCTGTGGAAGTTGTTGTCCGGCATGTAGCGTCGGTCCCTGTGTTCCTTGAGCCGCTCGATGATGGCTAGCTTCATGCCCATGGAGATGTGGGCTGGCAGCACTGAGAGCAGCAGGTTCTCCTGGGCACGGGGCAAGCCAGTAGGAAGAGGAGGGTGGCATCAGGGCTTGGTGTGGCCTCTATTCTCTCTGCCCATAATGGCTCCATCTTGCTGACTTAGGTCCTGTCACCATCTCCCCCAACCCCACAATCGCCCCAGTACCCTGGAGTGAGACCCTCTGGGTATCTCGCCAGTCTCCCCAGGGACATGGCTGTTCCGAAAGATCTGAGGGTCCAACAGAGAAAATGAAAGATGGAGGTGAGGTGGCAGTATGGGGAATGTTCAGGGATTAGAGGGAGGAGCTGAGGGGAATAGAGAGTGTAAGGATTGTATGAGGTGGCAGAAAAATGGGAGGCAGAGATGGAGTGGGGTCATGAGAGAAGAGGTAGAGTATTTGGGGAAGTATCAGGGTAGGGCATATGAAGATATGTGGAGAGTGGTGGAGAGGTTGCGGCAGAGAGGCAGGCTTTGGAAAGGATAAGATCAGGAAATAAGGAATTAGAACATGGGATTCTGGAATCAAATCAGGGTGAAGGGTGGGGACAAGCCCACAGCAGGCAGTGGCTCTAGTGGGGAGAGGCCCACCTGCTGACGCTTCTCAATGCGCAGCTTGCTTCGGATCTGGATGCACTTCACAGTGTAGGTGAAGTGGTCTCGGGAGGCGTCCTGCATCTGATACTTGTGGAAGGCCCCCGTGAAATTGCCGCACAGGAGGATAATGGCATTACTTAGTAGCTGGGGGTGGGCAGAGTGGGGGTTAGCATTCACCCTAGTCATATCCTCATTCTACTCAGACCCAGGCCAGCTATGTGCCCCCCCCCCAACTCCCTCCCCACTTTGAGCCTCAACCCACTCAGGCTGAGCCTCTGCATCCTCCAGGCCAAAGACAGGGAGGCAGAGGCAGCATCACCTCAGGGAGCCCAGAGACTAAATGAGCACCAAGGGAGCTCTTGGCGAGTCCAGCATTCCACGGCCAACAGAGTGGACTCATCTTCAGCTAAGGCAAAGCAAAGGAGTCGCCGCCATGGATTAATAACAGGCTCACCTCACTCAACACAAACTGACAGGATGCTGTGCCCAGAGAGAACCCCAAATCTGCCAGTAGCGGGGAAACCTCGAGGACAATACCTGACAGCAGTGGGCACATGGCCTGGGAAGGGAGATCGGGGTCAGGACTCAGGGGAGCCCTTGGCCAGCAAAGAAGAAAGCAGGCAGCTGCTTAAGTGGCAAATATAGGGAACCTGGGTGTGTAACTGCCTTCAAATTCTGCTTTGAGGCATTGGGGTCCAATTAATCCCAGGGGGCCTGGGTTGCCCTTAACCCCAAACCACATCTCCTGCCCCACAGGTCCCCATCCTGCCTCTCACCTTTAACTCCACGGAGTCACCAGGCACACTGGAGGCCTCCATCATCAGGACTCCAAACACGAGGAGGTGGGAGGTGGTGGAGACAATTCCCACGGCGATGGCCCCCCACATATTGAAGGGCAACAATGTGTACACCACGAAGATGATGAACAAGAAGAAGGGTACCTGGGAATATGCCACCATTAGGCTCAAGTCATCAGTCACCTTGCAGGGATGTGCCTAGCCAAGTTGCCCAAGCCCTGGGACAAAGCCCCAAGGCTGAACTGAGAGCAGTGTGCTGTGCTGCATTTGCCCAGGGCAGCTAACTCAGCCCTTAGCTCCTCCCAGTGAGACATAGCCAGGGCCCGCCATGGACATGCAATGGAACAAGAGAAAGTCAAACTGGGCTCTGGGTCCTACCCACCCAGCATTAGCCATTGTTTCCTAGGCTCTGGTTTGGTTCTGTGGCCAAGCCTGAGTGTCCTTAGGTGCAAGATTCCACATCCCCATGTGGCAGGACAGTAGTTACAGAAACGTCCTTAGGTGCAGGCATCCATCTGCTGCATATCCATTCTGGGAGTATGGATCAATGAGACTCCTATCTGCCCTGCACTTTCCCTCTCACCTTTGAACTCTCAATCTATGTGCTTAACTGGAGCCTGACCCCATGCCAGCAAAGGTGTGGGATCAGATGGTCCAGGGACAGTGAGCAGAGTGGACCATCCCTCGCCAACCGTGTCCACGAGTCTCAAGGTAGGGTCTGTTGCTGATTGGGTTATAGACACAAAAAAGAGTGGCTACGCTGGTAGATGGGTAGCCTGGGACTGCTAGTTGACATTCCCACTCCAAGTGGGGACAGTCTATGCAGGAACAAGAACCAGAGGACAGCAAGGCCAAGAGATGGGACTAGAGAGATCAGATCTGCATCCAGTTGGCGCCCCAGGACTAGGCCCTCAACTCTTCCCAGTACGTGTGAAAATTTGTACCTTTTAGTCTCTTCAAGTTAAAGCTTCTGTCATTTCTAACCAAATAGGATAGGAGTTCTTCTACTCTGTCTTATAGTTGCTATGAGTAGGAATCAACTTGATAGCAATGGGTTTGGCTTGAGAGGGTCCACCTGGAACCCCTACATTCTACCTGCCTCCACTAGCCAAGCCCCATCCTAAGTGTCAAACCACATGATGAGGAGTGGGCAGGGAGCCATCCCATTACCTGGTTCCACGCACAGGCCGTCTTCATCCGGGAATCGAACAGCAGCACATAGCCCAGTGTCATGAGGCAAGCCCAGATAAGCAAGGCCAAGGTCCTGAGCCGCCGTCGTATGAGGCAGTCAAAATATACCAGCAGGTACAGGGCAACAAACATGAGAAGCATCAGGAATGCTGTCCCAAGGACGGCCTTGTTTCTGGAGGGTTCCTGGATGGGGAAGACAGACACATAAACGCTACAGCTTTCCCAGAGGAAACACCCCCGGAGAGCAGCCCTGGCCAACACCACTGCAGGCACTGTCCACATGCATAACGTTTTCCTCTGCCAGGTTATTCCTGACCTCGGAGCCTTGGATGACAGGTGTGGCAATGCAACAGGAGCGCAGGGAAGGGCTAGTCCATGGGCAGAGAAGCCCTGGGAAGCTTTCTTGAGGACAAGCAGGATGAGGTGGGGGGCATTATTCCTAACTCTCAAAGAATAAACTGAGGTTTGTGGGGGAATGATTTGAAAGGCATCTCCGAGGGAGGAGCTTGAGGAAAGGTGCACAGGTGTGACCGGTGGGGAGTGCAGGAAAGAACGATGTGCTCCTGGGGCAGCACCCCGCAGGTGTTGGTTGCTGAGATTTCTGTTTCCCCAAGTAGCTCCTTGAGGGCAGAGGCATCTTGGAAGAAATGCTGGCAATCTATTTCTGAAAAAAGATCAGTCATTGGAAACCCTCTGACATGCATGAGACTATCCGGAGTCAGAGTCCTCGTGATGGCAACTCCTACTTGGGATCTGCAGGGGGTACAAGCAGTCAATGCACTCCGTTACGGACCGAAAAGTTGGAGGTTCAATAGAGCCAGGGTGTCTCAGCAGAAATCCTAGCTTTCTAATGAGAAAACAAAAACAAAAAAACCCCTCCTCCTTCAAAACCCCCATGGAGTACAGTTCTACTCTGACAATCACGGGGAATCAACTTAATGAAAACTAGTGTAAATACAGTTACTCTACTGACTAATTTACAAATAGCACTTCTGTTGAAACAGCATACACTCTCCCATGCTTTCTTCTAGAACTGTTTTCTGACAGCCACTAGGCACATGTCACGATTTCACATTAAACTTATACCAATCAAAAGTTTAAAATGTTTCCATTCAGCTAGTCACATCATACCATCTCAAGTGCTCAGTAGCCACAATAGCTATAGTGGCTGAGTATGACAAGTCTAAGCCAGAGATGACAAGGGAACTGGCTCTCTGGATAGTTATGTGGAGGAGGAGTGCTGGGATCCATTAATCGTGTCTGCCAGGTGCACGGTGTGGAAGCAGGTAGGCACGAGCCATCCCTGACCTAGGTCTTCAATAAAATCTATCATTGTGGGGGGAAGTACAGGTATTCAGCCAAAGTAATGTAACATCTAAATCTACCTCGGACTTTTTTAAAAAAGAGGAAAATCTTGTCTTCCACCAGTCTAAATAGCCTCCATAGTACTTTTCAGATGAGGAATCTGAGGTTTAGAGAAGGTAGGTACGCTCCCAAAATCTTTTCAGAACAAAGTGTCAGAGTTGAGATGGAGGTCCTAGCATCCTCTGTCTACGCAGACACCATTATTCCTCACCTCAATGATAAAGGTGATGGCGACGAGAGCAGCGCAGGCCAGGATAGCCACAAACAGGACCATGAGCAGCAGCGGCCCCTGCAGGTTGGTGAGGCTGTACTTCTCATAGAGTGCATTTTGGTCTGGGCTCTCTTCGCCCTCACTGAGGAAGTAGCACCCCTTGGTTGGCATCCTCCACCCTTTGCACATTCACACCAGTCCACTCAGGAACATCTGTCTACTGATACTGTCCCCTGCAGGTCTGTGCTTGGGGCCTCCTCAGGCCTGGCAGGTGGGGCTGGGGAGCAGCCTCCAGCGCCTGCTACGCCATGAGCTCCATGGTGCCTGCACACGCCAGCTGCCAGGCCGTCTCAGTGCATTCCTGGTATCTTGCTCTGTATCCAGGCCAGACTGCTCAGACATGTAGAGTTCTCAGTTCTGCAGAGACACAAGACAGACCTAGGATTATACCTCAATACACTGAACCACGAAGGGTGACTTCAGGGAAGGGAAGAGCAGGGTCACTGGGACCAATTTATCAATTTTTTTTTTTAAACATTTTATTAGGGGCTCATACAACTGTTATCCCAATCCATACACACATCAATTGTGTAAAGCGTATTTGTACATCATTTCTCAAAACATTTTCTCTCCATTTAAACCCCCGACATTAGGTCCTCATTTTTCCCCTCCCTCCCCGCTCCCCTCTCCCACATGAGCCCTTGATAGTTTATAAATGGGTATTTTGTCATATCTTGCCCTGTCCAACTTCTCCCTTCACCCACTTTTCGGTTGTCTGTCCCCCAGGGAGGAGGTCACACACAGTTCCATGTAATCGGTTCCCTCTTTCCTACCCATTCTCCCTTTACCCTCCCTGTTTTGCCACTCACACCACTGGTCCTATAGGGCTCATCCATCCTGGATTCCCTGTATTTTCAGTTCCTATCTGTACCAGTGTACCTCCTCTGGTCTAGCCAGTCTTGCAAGATAGAATTCGAGTCATGGTAGTGGGAGCGGGGAGGAAACCTTTATGAACTAGAGGAAGGTTGTATTTCTCATCATTGTTCCAATTTATCAATTTAATCCTAACCCCACTTGTGTTATTGTTCTTAATTGCTATCAAATCAGCCTCAGATGCATGGTGATTCCCAGCACAATGGAATGAAACGCTGCCCGGTCATGTTCCATCCCGTGATCCATTGTGGATGGAACTATTGTGATCCAGAGGGATTTTATTGGCTGGTTTTGGAAACATCACCAGGACTTTCTTCCTAGTCCATCTTAGTCTTGAAGCTCTGCTGAATGAAACCTGTTTAGTATCTTAGCAATAGCCACTCCTCCACTGACAGGTTCCTGCGATATAAGCCCACTATCAGACCTGTATATTTTTTTATTCACCAGCCCCTGCAATCCCATGAGCCAGCAGAAGTCTCCAGTCGGCCTCCTGACATACAGTGTGTGAGGTCTCTCAGGAGTGTGTCAATATGTCCCCCAACTAGATGCTGTTGGCGGAAGTGATTGCTATGGAAACACCCATGCAGTGGAGTCTGCTTCCATAGTAAACACTCTATAGCACAGGCCTTCGAAACCAACAACAGTCCCTAACTCCTCTGGAGGCAACTCATACTCTTTGGTCCCCTTCTTATCAGGACTGAAGATTGCTGAATGAGGCTATTGTGTACTAGGAAGCCAGCAGATTACCTTTTGTAGGAACTTCAGTCATAGGCAACATACCACCGGGCAGACTCTGATTGTAATAAAACAGACCGCCATGGGAGTCCGTTTAAAATATGACTGACTGCTCCTCCTCCAACCAGTAGCTATTAGTGGATGAACTGATACAAATTCCTGCAGAAAATGCCTCACACTGGAGTCAGAAAGTGGCTCACTGAAGTGGAGACTGCTCCCAAAACTACCATAGGGACACTGGCTTTCTGAAGGTCCTTCTGGGGAGTGCCCGTCCCGCCTCCACCTGAAATGGAGCAGAAGCTTCCCTTCAAGGTCAGCTCAGTCTCCACAGGGCAGAGAAAGAAACCTCCGGTAAAACTAGAGGCCAACACCCAGCCTCAGAGGGAACCTGCTGGGTGTGGATTTGCTGACTAAAAACGTGACTGCAGAAATGAGAAGGGAAACAAGTAATATCTAGAGAAAGGTACTTTGTCCCCTGTTGGATAGGATGATTAGTACACCATGTGTCACCTGAGTGGGGATGCCCACTAGTGGACAGGATGGCCACACCATAGCCACTGGTGTGTGAAAGAGATTGAAAGTTGGAAAATAAGATCTGAAACTTTTGGATGTCAATTAAACCTGGGAGAGAGGAGGAGTTATCACAACATAGAGACCGCAATAAAACAGTAAGTAAAGACTTACACCTCTACCCACCTCTTGCAGAATTTGGGTAAAAACACCAAATTCTGAGGAACACTGAGAAAATTCACACCCTCAAAAGTTCTAATGCCTTGCTTGACAAAAAAAAAAAATCACAAAACATACAAATGACAGAGAAACTCTGGCCCATCTAAATGAACATGACAAAGGGAGTGAAAGTGCATCTGGAGATGACCAAATGATGGAGGTGTGCGGGAGAACAGAATACATTAGACATAATTGAAAGCATAAGGAAAAAGAACAAAAAGGATATGGAAAACAATGTAAGAACAAAATTACTATCAATAAAAGAGATACCAAAACTTAAAAGGACAAAACTAAAATGAAAAAAACACAACAGAGGGACTTAATAGACTTAATCAAAGAATAGAAAGAATCAGCGAGTTAGAGGATAAAATCATTACAATTACAGATGCTGAAAAGCAACAGGAATGAAATCGCAAGAAGGTTGGGCAAAGTTTAATGAAACTATGACAGCAAGAGATCTAATGCACACATCACGGGATTCCAGGAGGAGCCGAAATAGAGATAGGGACAGAAAAATATTTAAAGGAATGACAGAAAAATTTCCACATCTAACAAAAGATAAAGGCTCTAAAAATCTAAGGAGCTTAAAGAACCTCAACCAGGATAAACCCAAAGAGATCTATACCAAGATAAACCATAGCTAAAAAACAAAACCAAGCAAAAGACACCCCTCCAAACTCCCTGCATAAAGGCAATTCCAGCTCATAGCCATCCTATGGGACAGGGTAGCACTGCCCCGGTGGGATTCTGAGACTTTCAGGTAGAAAAGAAAGCCTAGTCTTTCTCTGGCAGAGTAGCTAGTGGTTTCCAATTGCTGACCTTGTGGCTAACAGCCCAACCCTATACCACCAGGGATCTCAAAAATTAAAAATAGAGAGTCTTGAAAGCAGAGAGGAAAAGGCAAGCAGTCACATACAAAGGATCCCTAATGTTCTGATTTTCCTTCAGGAACATTGGAAGCCAGAAGGAAATGGGATAGTAAATTTGAAATGCTGAAAGGAGGGGTGGGGGTGGGGGTACTGTCACTCAAGAACACTATGCTCAACAAAACTATCCTTCATAAAATGAGGATGAAATGACAACATTCCCAAACAGATTGAAGCTGAGAAAATACATGCTTTCCAGGCTGCCCTGCAAAACACAACAGCAGCTCTGTAGATGGAAGGAAAAAGACACTAGTAATTCAAAGTTAGACATAAAAAGAAAGCTCCCCAACAAGAGAACAAGTTTAAGGGCTTATAATATCTATTGAAATAGTTAAAGTTTATTGTGCCAAGCTGGCCAATAAACACATGTGGGGTTAATTGAAGGGCAGAGAGATAAATGGCTCAGTGAGCCTCGCCTTTCTAGTTCTCGGGTCTCTTGCTTTTTGATGGTCAGACCAGGGTGCAGCTGCCTTAGTCAGATTTCCGCTTCAACTGGCAAGGCTCACTTCCTGCAAGACATCCCCGAGGAGAAGTCACATGGACCTACCCTGATGCAGCCCTGGGTGCTGGAGCAGCCACGTGCAGACCCCTGCCAGCGCTGAGATGCTTACACGTTCACTGATTTGGCTTTCCTCCTGCAGTCGGCATCATAGTGTGTGTTTTATGAGATGGAGGAGGGCTTTGTGGATTGGTGTTGGACATTTGGGCTAATGTTGGACTTGTGGGCTTGGGCAGCACTGGGTTGGGATTTTAAAAAAAATATTAATAACCTCCTATCACGTGGGACTTGAGTGGGATGTTTTCTTAATGTGCACTTATATAAAACTCTCCCTTATACATATGAGTTTCTGTGGATCTTTTTCTCTAATGTACCTAGACTAACACATCTATAATTGATCATTCTGTCTTGTCCTTCATGTTTCTAAAATAACAAATATATAAAAGGAAAAGTTAAATATATTACAAAGAAATGTAATGTATTACATTAGCTAGTGGTAACAAGAATAAAAGGGGAAGGAGAGGAATGGTATACAGATTTTTTGTAAGCTGTTGAAGTTGATACCAACTTAACCAAGAATATTAAAAATACAAGCTCTTAAATGCAATCGCCATGGCAGCTACTAAGAAAGTACATTAAGAAAAACAATGTCAAAGGAACAAGATGTAAACATTTTGTTACATATAAATTCACATAAGTCTTTATTCATTATAGGTGGCTATAATAAATAAATCTTCACTTGTTGCATACATTGTAGCAAAAAAAGAGAAAGAAAAACATACACAAAGGGAAAGGAGAAAGGAACCAAAAAGGCTCACTAAAATAAACCAACAAAGCAACAACAACAAAGCAGGCTTCACACACACCAAATCTGACACATGTAATGACAGTGACTAAATGAGCAAACCGCACCCATCCAAAGGCAGCGAAAGACAGAATGGGCAAAACACAAAAACACGATCAAACTGTATGCTGTTTACACGAGACAAGCCTTAAACCCAAAGACACAAAGGTGGCAAGTGAAAAGATAGGAAAAAATATTCCCTGAAATAATAACCAACAGAGAACCGGGATGGAAATTTTAAAGTAAGCTTTAAGACAAAATCTGTCAGAAGACATGAAGATGGAGCAAAATGATCAATCAATGAATCAAGAATATTTAACAACAAACATACATACATCCAACATCAGAGCATCTAACTGTATAAAGAGAACACTGATAGAACTGAAAGAACAAACAGGACTGAATAACAGCTGGAGACTTGAATATGCGAGTTTCCGTTTGGACAGAATACATAGAGTAGATCAAGAAACAGGGGATCTGAATGATGCTGTAAACAAATTACTTAACAGATACATACAGGAAAGACCTTCCAAAAACAACACAGTATACGTGATGCTCCAGTGTACCTGGGTCATTTCCCAGGACACATCACATTTTAGGTTACAAAGTCCATCTTGAACATTTGAAAACATGCAAAATATTTTCTCTGATCACAATGCAGTGAGGCTAGGCATCAATGGGGGGGTAATCTGGAAAATATATAAACATATGGGAATGAAACAACACTAAATATCAATGGGTC